TTTTTTTTTTTTTTTAATAAGTTACCCGATCTTCTTTTCCTTTTTCACGGAATTCTCTTCTTCCTTTTTTCACAAAAATCTGCACAAGCAAGTAGACAGGACAGGAGCAGGTAAAACTCCCCTTCACCAACCTGTACCCAAGCAATGAGTCCCATTCTCAACTCTCAAAAGGGTACAACAACTCACATATTTCACGGGGTTGAGGATGCACGCACGAGGACCAAGTCGTCGAGGAAGTCTTATCCGGCGAGCGGAGGTGTGAAGAAGCATGCTGGTGCTCCATTCGTCAGCAAGCTCGACGTCCTCCTCAAGTCCAGCTTGGGAGAGCCATGTGTCGCCGTTTTGGGAGCGAGAGGGCGCGTGAGAGAGCCGGCGCTGAGCTCTAGAAGCAGAGTCAACGCCAATTCTCAGATCACCATTGTTGGCTCCAAGGTTTATCCTATCAGACCCTCAATCACTAATGCGACTTACCTTAATTAAGATTGTACTTTCTTCTCGCTGCTTTGGTCTCTTGATTTAGCTCGATTATATGTTGGGGAAATGTGTGCTTTAAAGTTTAATTGATGTCAGCTTCGGATTGTTTTTCTAATTTCCACACCATAATTTTGATTCATCATGTAGTTGCGATTTTTAAAATAAATTTTACGTTATTTAGCTAGGTTGCTTCTGGTGGTGTAACTTAGCCCTGGTTGCACATCTGATTCATGTGTAAGATTTTGTGGGAAATTTTGTAAAATTTGGTTCACATCCTGGAATAGCCAACTGTTAATGCATCTCTTGTTGTAAGAGTTTACAGGATTCATGTTGCTGTATTTTTGTGGTTATGTTCCATCCTAACATAATTGCAGTAGTCAGATGAAAGCTGATTTTTCTTGGATCTTGTCTCTGCAAAAGCAGGATTAAAGGAACTCAGTAAGCAGGACTGGAGATCTCAGAAAAAGATCAGGTTTTTCAGTATATATTTCTAAATGGACACTGGTTCTTCTCATCGGAGTTATGATTTGGTCGAATGTGGGTGTTTTATTATTTTCAGGTACAACCGTACAACTATGATATAGTGAGGGACGTACCATTCGAGGGGAAGTATCAGTGGGTTCGTTTACACCCTTAAATGAAAGTGCTGCTCAAAGGAGAAAAGAATGGCATCCTTTTCTATTCCCTCTTATAAACTTATATTTTTATTTTATTTTAGAAACCTTCTAGGTGGAGATAAGATTTTAACTTAATTGAGCGCACATTAGACCAAACGTGTGCTTAAAGAGACAGACACCACACATGTAATAAATCGTATGAGATCGTCCTATGATCAGATTACAAAAAGAGAAGGTTCAACTTTTTTCTTAAGACATTACTTGAATGCATTTTGCAGTAACTTAAGAATGTGCTATTGAAAGAAAAAAAACTATCCCATATCAGAAGAGATATATCAATCTCACAAGTTCGATTTTTTCACATTTCTAGGTTTGTGCGAATTTTGTAATTCTGTAGAGAGGAACTATTATTGAGGAACTCACAAAAGAAACTTTGATGGACTGGAATCACCTCAGGGAGTTGTTATCTATCTGTGAAGGTTGGTCAAATTCTCATTCTCATCATTTGTTTTTTAGTCTGATTATATAGTTAGCTAACATAACAAGGCCATGTATGTATGCAATTCTTTAACTTCCACATAGCGCAAAAGCAAATAGGGGAGACCGCACAGAATGAAACCAGCTCTAGATCCCATCAAATTCTAAGACTTGTTGGCTCTCTTCTCACGCTCATTCCAGTCTCTCTCTCACACACACTGTTTGATTAAGTTTGAGTCCTCACAGTTGGCTCTTTTTTTATCTGATTTCTCCAGACAATTGAAAGTTCCGCTCTGCTCGAGAATTTATTGGAAAAGGCAACTCGACCACCCTTTCTGCTAGCGTGGAGCAAAATTAAATTATTGATAATTTCCCCGCATACATGCTACCTACTATATGATATAAGTACACATATATTATTTGGATATTAATTGTTTCATATCTTCGTGCAGAACTTTGTTGATCTAGCAGGAAGTGAACGAGCATCTCAAGTATTATCCATGGGGCAGAGGCTCAAAGAAGGTTGCCATATAAACAGTAGTTTATTAACTTTGGGTTACTGTTTTAAATATTGGCTTCAGGTTGAAGTTATGAGGCTACATTTATGTGCAGTGTTTTGAAGGAAGTCTTCTCTATGCTTATGTCAGGTTTATTAATATTGTGATTTGATAACATCGGTGCACCCATCTCATTCATTTATTTCATTTTTTATCTGTTGCAGTTAAATGATGATAAAAGTCCTTTCCAGAGAACATTTGTTAATCAGGTATTATTTAGCAGTTTGTTGTTGATAAGTGCAAGATACTACTCAGGTATCCTATTTTCAGCTCGTGGGAAGGTGAAACTTGGATATAAGTTGAGTACTTTAGGCAATGCTAATCTATCCTCCATTTCTTTTATTACTTTCAAGTTCCAATGCACCTTACATGACTAAACTTAAGATGCAAATAACTTGGGATAGGTTTATGCGAAAGATGCCAAATTATTGAGTTCCCTCAGGTCGAATTCATTTTCGTCCAAACTTAAGATGCAAATAACTTACGATGCACCTCTAATTAGTTTCGTCCAAACAGTTCTTGAAAGATGTCAAATTTCAAGAAGTTCATTCTTTGTGTTACCACCGATTAACTGAAAACATTATCTTTGTTAAATCATCTGTGTGTATTGGGTTTTAAGATAGTTGGGGGTGTTCATGGTTGAATGCTGTGACTGAATTGATTTAGATATATTTAGAGATATGCTCTGTTGTGAATGTTATTTTGAGGTTCTTTTATAGGTTCTCAAATATATTATTTGAAATCTATTTGGGTTGTGATAAGTAGATTATCTCAATTTTTGTTTTTTTTTGGATGTTGTTGAGTAGATTGTCCCTTCGCTTTAGACACGGTAGACTTTTTCAACCATATGTTTTATGGATTGTTTAATTTCCCCAACACATATGATCCTTATCTTGTTAGTTATGTAAGTATCGCTTTTAATCTTTTTATTTGTTGCAAAAAAGATATAGGTTTAATGGATTCCATTGTTTCTACTGTTAGGAACACAGACATCGTGAGTTACACTATTCAAATCGTATGAATGTGGATCATACTTTTTCAGTTTGGATTGATTGATGAGGTTTTTTTGAGTTAGCAAGGCATGAATTATACTGGCTTGAAATTTACATAATAAATTTGATGTGTTTTTCAGTTATAGACCGACGTACAGGGTACTCTTCTTGACGGAACCACTAAGCTCGATGAGGGTTATGGTAATGCTTAGAAATTTTAGAGAACTATGTCCTTTGAGTTCTCAAATTTGTTTTATGAATAATTCTTAAATCGTGCATTTTAAAATTCTCCTCTGTCATCAATATTCTCATGTGTACTCATATTTTGTTGTTTCACAAGCTCTACACATGATTGTCGTGCTTCAGAGTTGCCGGTGTTGCGGCCAAGTACAAGCATCATCTCGGCAGATATTACTACCACCGTACCATGGCAAAGTTAAATCTACCAAACACTCCGTTACACCAAAACTTAGCAAAACATTATCCACCACCCAAAGGATTTCTTACATCTTATATTTAGGTAAGTCACCGGTTATATTATATATGGTTCCATTCTCCAAAGTTTGATGCTAAATCACACCTACAGATATTACTTGAGCAACTGAGCTTGAAGTTGAACAAATGGGAGACAAAATGTCATGATTAATTATAATTATAAATTATATTGCTCTTTCATACCATTGAATGAATGGCCACTTATGATCAACATGAAGAATCAAGACAACGTTTAGATTTTTTTGTATCACAAAGAATTCATGTTGTTATTATTATTTTTCTTTGTCCTCTGAATTGTTATTTTTACTCAATTTAGAAAAAAAAAAACAAAATCTGTAGATTCATATCTTTCTGTTAGTGTACTTTGCTTACATTGCAAATTCAGCCGCTACATGCATTAGCAATGTTCTAATTTTGAACTTTAGAATTCACTGACGATTTGTCGTCCTATTACTTAACCTCAAGAAATTTTTTGAAGTATTTGTGGGTACATTTTTATTTGTTGTATTTTTTTTTTTTTTTTGGTCTTAGCCACTCATATAAAAGTTTAACACATGCAGGTTTTGGCGGAAATTCAAACGGAAACAAGAAAACAGTGGTTCCAAGGGATAGCCAATGTTGTTGAACAATTTATTCGTCAATATGAGGTTACATTTTAACATATTCAATATTCTTATAATTTTTTAACTGCAAAATTAAGCATGCATGTACTGAATTGTGAGGTATGAATGCATCCACAATTATAGCTTTAATTGTTTTGAGTTGTCACTCCTTCGAAGCAGTCGACACAGCATAATAGGCCTTGAATTTGGATTATATTGTATCACTAAATTGGCCAACTCAGTGAGAAAGCCTATCTTATTGACAGTCATAATCAAAATTTTTTACAATTAGAATGTCTTTTCAGAGTTTGTCAAGACTCTGACGATAAATCTCAGAGTTGACTAATGATGCATGGAGAAAATTTCATTCAGACTCTTTGCTTTTGATCCGACAAAGC